TCCCCCTGAAGGATGGGGTGCTCATGAGCAAGGATCTGCTTGTCACCTCTGGAAGGCCCGTGGACTCCCCAGGCCACCTGGGAGCCCAGCAGACGGGTCACGTCAAGTCAGAGCAAGCTGTGCCTCAGGTGCCAACCAGAGGCAGGCACGAAAATAAACTCGGATGACACTTGAGACACGTCACCAGCATCGTCAATGTCCCTCCAAATCAGAGCATCGCTGAACTTCCGGGAGCTCATTTTGTTTCAGTGTTGTCTTTATGCAGACCTCCACAGCACAGCGAGCGGGGAGAGGGAGGGCGTCACCGCGTTCTCGCCTTGCTTAGAGCCTTTAAAAGTCCAAAAGACCCATTTCTGGGGGGCACAAACGGAGGGGACAGACCCTGGGTAGGTACTGGCTACCTGCTTGTCCTTCTCAGAGGATTCCAGTCTTGCAGGGAAGCTCTGAGCACTGAATTGTCTGTTCCAGAAGCCGAAAGGGCCAGAGAATGATAAGCATGGCCCATGTTTATTGAGCATTTACTACACGCCAGTAATCTACATTAACTCGAGAAATCTTCCCAACAACTTTAGGAGGTGGGGATGTTATTATCAGGGCCATTTTATAAATTGGAAACTGAGGTGCCCAGAGGTTAAACATATCACCCTAGGTCATCTAGGCAGCTGGTGGCAGAGCCGGGATTTGAACCTGGGCAGCTTAGCTTCACATGCCGATCTCTGTGCTCTCTTGTCCTTCTTTGGCCTGGACTCCTCTCTCAGGAGAGGAGCCCAGCTGCCTCCACCACTGGCAGTGAGCTGGAGTGAGGCAGACCCACGTGTGTGTCCTGATACTTCTGTGAGTTTCCGCGACCTTGGGAGAGCCACTTCACCACGGGGCTTGCTCGCCCCTTCTGCCATGTGGGACCACCTTCGTGCCTGGGGTGGCGTTGAAGGAGGTCGCTGTGGGCACTAAACAAGTTTCCCTGTGTCAGCAGCCGGAAGGGGGCCTCCCTTAGAATATGTGCTCAATAAGCATCACGGGGGCTGATTATTAGAGCCTGCAGCCTTCCCTTCAGGATGATCGTGAGGCCCCAATGATGTGTCAAGGCACTTTGTATGGGAAAGACAATTGCCCAAATGTCAGGCCTTGGTGTGACTCATGTAAATATGGAGTGTTCAGTCTGGGTAGCGGGAGGGGCGGGGGCTGAGATGAGAACCGTCCTCCTGGCACCCAGGGCCAGGTGCCAGCTCAGGGGGTGGGGTGGGATGAGCGTTCCAGGGGAGGGGCAGAGGAGGGCTGCTCAACTCAAAAGGATGGGCTGGGGCTGGGACCCCTGGTATGCTCCTGGCCCTCTCTGGACCTCA